AATTAGCCGGTAAATCTGAATCTTTTTTTCGAGCCTGGTCTCTCGATCCATCCGCGATACCTGGTTTACCGAGAGCTCGGGGTGCCGAACACCGCGACGCCTCATCTCCGTATCGTTTGCAACATATGTGCCTGCTGTATAGACAGCACATGTAACACGCAATATTATACAATATATTGTACGTAGAGTAATATAACAGATTATCAATCGCGAAAGCGGAGGTAATTTAGAAAATACTTGAATGGAGTGATTCTCGCAGCCATGGAACTGCCGCTACTATTATTAACGTAAACTCTCACGTAATTGCAGAAAACGTGAAAAAAAGTGGTTCTTTGACTTGATCAAAGCGCAGGTTCGTAATTGATTGCAAAACACGGTAGCCCGAATATTTCGGAAACGTTTTTTGTTAAACCGTTCGCTTGCCCCGAATGGTGTGTTCCCGGTGATCATCCGTCTAATTTCGCAAGCGATAAGCAATTTCGCCTTCGATACCGAATGTCACGGGTTCGATACAGACTAATTTTTACGTGACGCAATACACTTTCCTTACACTTTCGATTTCGCAACGTTTTAATGCGCCGTTGTTACAACGTGGTCCATTAACGCCCGCGTGTGCTTCGCTGTTACTTTTTTTTCTTTTTTTCTTTTTCTTCTTCTTCTTTATTCATTATCGTCGACGAGCGAGTACTCGACGAAAGATTTCAGGCGTTCTGCAGGAGATAAAAATTAATCGTGACGGAGTGCAACAATTTGGAAGAACAATTTCAACATGCTCTCATTCTTTGAAATTTGTAAACAATTGTTAACTCTTTTCAACATTTGTTCGACAACGAAGACCGATTTTTGTTCACGAACCAAGAAAGGACTCTGCGAAAGGAATAAAAAGTGAAACAAACAATACGATAAAAGATTCGTCGTCTCCAGTTATTAAAAGTGTATTTTATTTATAAAGTTTTTCCAGTTTCTATAGTTACGAGTTAATATTCTGCTTTAGTTACTTTTCTTAGTTTGTCGAGATTTAATATTTAGGACATTTTCTGACTAATTTTTCTTTACTGAGCTCGACGAATAAATGCAAAAAAAAAAAAAAAAAAAAAAAAAAAAAAAAAAAAAAAAAAAAAAA